GAGTCAGCATAAGTGCCTCTCTCTAGAAGAGTAGAGAGATGCTGAACACCTAATTAAAAAAAGTACAGAAGTACCTTTTATACTTTCCATCCTTCTAGGCAGTTCTTTAGAACTTGTGTAAGCACAGTAATCTTCTTCATTACTGTATAGATCTTTAAAACCTGTACATACTTAAGCACTTTCAGCCAATGGTGATTTTTTTTCTTAAGTAATTGAAAATACTGCTGGTATATAATTATAGCTTCAAAACAGGCTTGCCAAAATGAACATTAGATGTATATATCTATAAAAGTAAACATATTGAGACATTTAAATAGGTACCATTACTCTCAAGTAGCCAAATGAATGAAATATATTTTCCAGATTGTGTTCTCTGACCAGAGAGAGATTAATTTCAGAAGAAAGTTGAAATAATAAATTCTAAGAATGGTTTATCTATTAATATAACATATGTTTTTGGTTTTTTTTAATCTTGCAGCCTACTGATGCAACAAAAGTTGTGTCTCATCCAATTACGGGGGAAATTCAGGTATGAAAATTTTTTAAAAGTCATCACTATTTTATCTTTCCAGGCTATTTTTTTCACTAGTCTATTAAAATTGGAAATACATTGTTCAAATAATTCTCATTCTATACCACATACAGAAACGTAAAGTGAAAATGCAATTTTATAGGATGGTACATTAATACAAACGTATGTTTTATGAAGACTCATCATAGCTATGGAACACTATACTTTGAAATTTCACTTGAAACTTCAACAGTATCAATACATTTTGTGCCACAGTTATTTTATACTTGCAGTCTGTGTTTTAGACATAATAGATTTTTCTGGATATTGGAAGGCTCTTCATTAAGAGTTTCATGAACTGAATGCAGCCTTTCCCTTCTTTCAATCACTGATTGCTAAATAATGCTGAACAATTCTTATAAAGAAGTGTTTTTCATACCATGCATCATATCCGCATTGTAATTTATAAAATCGATTTAAAGGATTCTGACCAGGAGAATACAATAAAAATAGTATAGAATCATATACGTTTAAAGTTGTGGGTGTGTGTTTCTGTATTTAGATTATTATATTACCACATCCAATATATTTCTTTGGGTGGATCATGGGGGAAAAAATTTGAAAAACTATGCTTTGGGTGATTATAAAATGACATAGGGGCCAGCCAGTGGCATGGTCGTTTAGGTAGCTGGATCCCACATGGCCAACTGAGGGGTTTGAGTCCCCAGACAAAGAACTAGAAAAACATGCCAAGCGTGTGTGCATGCATGCCCAAAATCCCAAGAGAAGAATGGAGGGAAAGGACTGCATTGTGACCCTCCCCACAGGGGATGTTTTCTTAAATTTTCTCTGTATTTCTGTGTGTGTGTGTGTGTGTGTGTATGTGCCCTACAGCAAAAAAAAGGGGGGGGAGGATAAAATGTAGATAACAAATGTCATATGGAAAGAATTAACAAAATATATAATAAAAACTGAAAGTAGTAAGTTTGGGGCCAGCAGGTGGCATGGTGTTAAGGTGCTGGACATGGCTGACCACTGTTTGAATCCCTTGCTTTCTCACTTTCTCTCTCTCAGTCTAGTGAACATGTGCACCATGTATAAAATTTAGTAATAATAATAACAATAAATAAAATTAAATAATTCTTTCAAGAGAGATATTTTTGCTATATGAAATGTGTACTTGCCAAAGACACAGAAAGAGAGAGAGAGAAAGTAAGAAATCATCCCCCAGGGAGGATGTCCATGCCAGTCCTTTCTGTTTTTTTGGGGGGGGATTTTGGGCACACATGCACACACATACAATGTGTTTCAAGCCACTGGGTCCAGGACTTGAACTGTGGTTGACCATGTAGGAGTCCAGTGGCACAACCACTATGCCATTTACTAGCCCTTGAGTAAAAAATACCTGGCTTTTATGGCTTGACACAGGCATTCGAAGATTTACTTTCTTAAATGAAATATAACCAGATCAAAATTATGCTGTAAGTAGGATTTATTTTAATTATGAAATTTTACATTTTAAATTAAAGTTTGATTCATCTCAGTTATCTTGTTTTCACTAAAAAACATAGTATATCTGTCTTGTGTGAATATATTAAAAATAGTAGTTTTATTTATGAATATTTTTCCTTGAAATATTGTTCTTTTCCTTTCTGTGAGTTAATAAACACAAACCACATCAAACAGATTTTTATTCTTTTTATTTTCTAGAAGACCTCTCCACTTGGCAGAGAGAGAGAGAGAGAGAAAGTGAGAAAGCATCCCCATTGGGGAAAGGCTATGCCACAATCCTTCTCCTCTAATTTCTCCTCTATTTTGAGCATGCACTGCCAAGTCCAGGACTAAAATCATGCAGTGAGCCATATGGGATCCTATGCCTTAACCACCACACCACACAGTAGCTGGTCCAAGGTTTCCTATATGTGATGCCAAAAGAATCTTTCAACTGTGAAAGAGAAGAATTAATTAACTCAATTATTTTGAAATATGCAGCATTCTTATGGAGTTACTTGAACTGAAAATCTTTTATTATTCAGTGACAATGGTCCAATAGCAAATAAGCATCTATGAGGCATACCTTTCCTTTTTCCAATCTATAAAATTAAAGAGCAAGATTTTATTATACTGATCTCTTATTCTATTCTGAAGCAGGCACAAAAAGCAAAGCTATAGGTTTAACATCAGACAATGGAATGTGGGAAGAGATAAAATCTATGCATTTTCTTTTTATTTATTTCTTTACTTTATAGATTTGATCATCACTGTACATCACCACAGCTTGTAAAATGAATTTTTCCAGCATGAATATATTGCACCCCAATCCAGTTAAAGATATTATACATGTTATTATCAGCAGATAGTCCTCCATTTCCTTGTCCCTTAAATGTCTTGCCTCTCTATTTTGCCTCTCCTTGATTACCTTCCTCTCACCCTCCCCTACCTCCTACCCTTCTCCCACTATCTCCAGTATCCACAATCATTCCCAGGCATTCCCCATGCTTCTGTATCCTCTAATTTTTTGGTTTCTACCACAGTGTGGACAAGTGAGGACATACAATGCCTCTCATAGTCTGGCTTGCTTCACTCAGCAGTAAACCTTCTGTATTTGTTCATTTTCTATCAAATGTCAGTCTTTTTTTTATGACTGAGTAGTATTCCATAGTGTATATGTGCCACACTTTTATCAATACATTCATCTGTTCATGGACATTTGGGTTGGTTCTGTCTTAACAATTGTGAATAATACCACAAAAAACCTGGATGTGCAAGCATTTACCTGACTGATGTGCTCCTATCCTTTAGGTAGATATCTAGGAGTGGAATTGCTAGATCATACAGTAGTTCTATTTGTGGGTCTTTGAGGAACCTCTGTATTGTTCTCCACAGTGACTATACTAATTTACATTCTCACTAACAGTTTAGGAGAGTTTCCTTTACACCACAGCCTGGCCAAAACTTATCATTGTTTGTTTTTTTTTTTTTTATCTTGACCATTTTGACTGGGATTCAGTGGTATCTCATTGTGGTTTTGATTTACATCTCCCTTATGATAAAGAATATTGAGCATTTTTTTTAAACGCTTTTTGGCTGTTCGTATGTCTTCCTTAGAGAGATGTCTGTTCACCTCATTTGCTCATCTTTTTATTGGGTTGAACACGTTTTTTTGAGTAAGCCACTTGAGTCCTTAAATATTCTTCATTTCGGTCCTGATAGCTTGATCTTTAACCATTCTACCCACTGCTATTTATTTGGTGAAATGCAAATGATATTTTATAATAAATATCCTAATTCATTATTTTTTTAAAAATTCTGATAATTGTAATAATAAACATAAATAGCATTTATTATTTTTTAAGAATATAAATTTAGTTTAAAATACAGGTAGCATTCACTGTATGATTTTCTTTCTGAGTGAATTTTAGATAGGCCAGGGCTTTTCACCATGGAAAGAATGAACAGCATGTTTACTAGAAATTAAAATGTGCCTGGGAGCTTCCAATTAAATTAGACATTGACTAGTCTGTTCAGTTTCAAATAAGATAAAAATAAGGATTGATGCTTCTCATAGGTTTTTTTTTTTTTAACCACTGGTAACATATTGAATGATAGTGTATTACATGTTTTAAAAAAAATTTATTGAACACTTTGCTGTCCCCTAAAGCTTCAAATCAACTATGATCTTGGAAATCTCATAATACATATTCTCCAAGCAAGAAACCTTGTCCCTCGAGACAACAATGGTTATTCTGACCCTTTTGTTAAAGTGTACCTTCTTCCAGGGCGAGGGTAAGTAAAGAAACAATGTCTTCTAAGTATTTCACCCCATGGTTTAAAAAATTACAGTGTCTTCCAATTTCTAATTTCAAACTCTCATGTTAATTGAGTGTATTATCTTTTCCTTAGTTTTCTTCATATGTCTCATTTATAATTAATAGATAAGGTGGAGTTAAAGTTTGCAATTAAGCCTTAATGTGCTCTAAGATAGCAATAGTCATAATAAAAACAGCCTCCATGAGAACAAATTAGCATTTAGATTCTTAAAGCCACTCCTATGATGACCAAACTTAGTGTGTTCTAGTCCATTCTGTTAATAGTGAAAATATCTGTGTCAGGGTAATTTATAAAAACAGAGATTTATTCCATTTGGAGGCACAATATCAAGGGCTGTACCTGGTCAAAGTCTTCTTGCTGATAGATAATGACCAGTAGAAGATTGAGAGCAGAGTTTATGTCAGTCTGTCTCATTCCCTCTCCTTAAGAAGCCACCAGGACTCAATCATGCCTCACCACTTCTCAAAGGCCCCACCTTTCAAAACAATAATTGTATTAAGTTTCTACCCTTTCAACATTTTTATAATGGGTCTCTGAATTTTAACATGCTAATTTTAGGAAACACATTCAAACCATAGCAAATAGTAAAATCATTTAAGAATTAGTGTTAGACTTAAAGAATTAGCTTTGTTCCCAAATTTATTTGAGAAACTAATGTTCAAGGATTCATAAATTAACTTATTTTCATAAAATATATGTATTATTTAGTGTTAAATATTCAATAAATGGCTTATTGATATATTTTTGCTTACAAACAAATGTCCAAATCAATGTTGTAAAAAGAATAAAAAAGAATAAAATGAAAAAAAAGTTGACTGAAATAAATAAATGAACTAAATGTATTTGAACTCTTGTATGATATATAAATTGTTGACCTAAAGCAAATGCTCTTTGGAGACACTTAATTTTTATGTAATAAGTACAAATTGCTTCATTCTGTTATATAAATCAGTACTCAAAAATGGTTTCAGAAAAGTTTTTTGGACTCTACAAATCATACATTACATGAACAATGGAAATTTGCTTAATTACCATGATGGAACCATAAGTAATCAAATGCAGATATAGTAAAAGGAACTGATCTGGTAATTTAAAGATCAGGCTTAACTTCTCATTAACTTTTCTTTTAATTTGATGAGTGAAATTTGAATGCTGTTCTACTTGGAGAGGTTTGTTTGTGTAGGACTGTATAATGATCCCCGATACACCCATCACTTAGCTTCCGTTCTCACTTCATATTTCATTCTTACTCCCATACACTCTCTCTATCCAGATTATTTTGAAATAAATCTCCGCTAGTATAACTTTCTCCTGAAATATTTAATATGCATTTCCAAAATGTAAAGACTCATATTAAAATAATCACAATATCATATGTAATCATAATTTTAAATTTCCAAATAATTCATTTCACCAGTTGCAAAATGTTTTCCTAGTGTATTTGATGACCTAACTGGTATGTATAGAACATGCTACCCATCAAGAGCAGCAAATATTTTCTGATGGCAGTTGGTTTGTTGGAACAGGGTCCCAGTTAGAACATTTGAATCGGTAACTTGTTTATTATATAACCATGAGCAGATCAACAATTTATTTGAAATTCAGTTTCTTAGCCACTATTGAGAGTCACCAATAGGTAGAAAAACAATTTTCAATTTGTCAGGGGAACCAAATTAGATAACACTCAGAAAATAATTTGAAAATTGCCAGGTGCTATGTCAAATTTAGTATACAGATTTTAATTTATACTTCCCAATAATTTTACTTACAAACTTAGAATTGTTGATATGGCTTCTCCAATTTTAATTTGTTACACATTTTGAAAAGCTCTGAATAACTTTATATGGAAATTACCTACTACAGACATAGTCCAGAAAAGGAGAGCTTTATTTATTTATTTTAAGTTAATTAATTCATTTCTTTAGGTAAAAAATAGTTGTAACTTTAATTTGTCTACATTTTAAAGAGAATATAACAAAAACAACAACAAACCAATAAATTCATTCTGCCTTTGACTTGGGTCATTTAGACCTTCAGTGTTAGTTAATGAATATTTTATGAGACAAGCAAAATCACCACCTTTGGGTTGTGTCTAATTAACATTTGTTAATGAATAAATGTAAATAAAGTACCATCATGTATTTTCTATATGCTCTAATAATATCTTTGAGTATTAATTTTATATGGAAATACCTTCTTTTTTATTACATGATATGTTTCAAACATATCAGAGTGTTGTAATGTTGAATAACTAGAAAAGACAGTGGATGACATGAATACGTCGCTACATTCTGGGAGGAGTTATAGGGAATGTTGCAAACTATAATAAAATGGAGAGAATTTGTTAAACAAAATATTTCTGCTGAATGGGATTGGCTCAAACGCAACAATATGCTTTCCTATTTTATATGTTCTTTCACATAATTACTCCTAATTATTACAGTGGCTAAGGCCTTGAGATTTTTATGCATGTGACATATGATTTTTCCACTGTAGTTTTAAGATTATTTTCTGCTTATGTCATTTATATGTTATGGTATAGCTCCTCTAGTTATTATTTGCATATTTTCTTCCTTATTTCTATTCCTAACTTTTTTCTTCCTGTCTTTCCTACTTTCCTGTTGTATCCTTCACTCTCGCTCTCGGAATCAATACAGTCAAGTCATGGTTGTCCAGAATGCAAGGTAGAGTTGGTTCTTTTACAGTGTCAAGTTATGCTATTATATCTAGAATTATATTTTTGCACTTTAATGCCATCAACTTGGACTGTAATGTCTACATTTCTACATTTAATAGCTATTGAATTAGGCTTAGAGTAAATTATTCTGACCACAGTTTTCAATAGAAGATGTAATGTGTGTACAATCGAACACCAAAAAATAGAAAATATTAAAAACAGAAAAGACGAATATGAAATTAGACATCACCCAATTTTTTATTTGTAATTTCCCCACTTACCTCATCTAGTATCTCATCTGACAATTATGGCTTAAATTTTACTGGGTGTTCTATTATAAATAAAAGCATCTCAAGCCACTTCACTCAAGGAATTAACCAATGTTCTGAATGTCCAGTAGTTGGTCTATAGCTCATGTTAAAGACAATAGATATCTTGTCTTTTTTCCTTGCTTGAATCTGGTCAAAGAAAAATGAACCAGCCAATTAAGTGAGCAAATCTTAGCAAGATTTAAATCAGGCAATTGTCCCTGGACTTCCGGACAGCTCCAGCTACCCTCATGATCAACTCAGTATTTAAGTACCTGAAAAGAGAAATGAAAGAGAAGGAATGAGATAGAAAAACAATTGGATTGGTTACAGGTGGACTGTACGCTCCATAAACGGCCCAAAAGGTGGGCTTTCTGTGATTGACTGAAGTGTGGCTAGTGTGATTGGCTATAACTTAGCAACTAGCTCAGGAAAAGAGCCTATCCAGAGGAATCCGAGTGTGGAAGTACAATGGCCGTTTTAGGCCACAATACTTTAACAAATGTGACAATGAAACATTGCCATTCCTTTATACCATCTGCACCACAAAATTATTGCTATGCAATACAGGATGCATAATCTGCTTACTTTAATGACAAGAGAGTAAGAACATCCTCCTTTGTTTCTAACAGTAAAAAACAATTTTCTGAAATAGCTCATAATATAGCTCATAAAGTGTTGCATCATTATATTATCAACTAAGGTTACTGCTTAATACACAGCTAAAAGCAATCTTTTGCATATCTCTTATTGCATTACAAATTAAATGTGCTATTTAGTGGGGAGGGTGAATCATGTACCATCTGTAGCAATAGTAATGAAGATTTTAATCCCCCACCCAAGATTATAAATGGTACAATGCTTGTTTTTGTCTGTGACCTTAAAATTTTACATCTTTATTAATCCTGACAAGCTGTTGCCCCAGAGAGGCTGTTTATGATTTTTAAAAGCATAAATATTTAAATATAGTTGTCCCTCTGTGTCCAAAAGGGGTTGGCTCCAGGACTCTCCTTTGAATATCAAAATCCACTGATGTTCAAGTTCCTTATACATTTATTTCCATATAAATTATGCAGTCCTTCCTCCCTTAAGTAACCATCTCTAGATTAAATGAAGTATCTAATGCAACATAAACTTCATGTAAATAGTTTTGTTACACCATATTGTTTTTTATTTGTATTGTTTTTATTGCTGTAGTCTTTTTATATGTGTATATGTGTGTGTGTGTATATATATATATATATACATATTTAACCTAAGCTTGGTTGAATTTGTGAATGCAGAATTGTGGCTATAGCGGACCAACTATATTCCAAGGAATAGGATAAGTCACCACAATGTTTCTGAGACCTGGAAATGTTTTTCTTTTTTTCAGTCGTAGAATTATAGCAAACAAGCAAAATTTGACACTGTGGCAGGTTTCTTGGTGTGGCTCCTCTTCTCCTCAGAGGCAAATTCAGGTCTCCTAGGCCATTGTGCAAAATTAGTTCTGTTTCAAAGAGACAGTGTCACTTTTAGAATAGACATTTATTGATGTGCTAGCACTTTTCCAATTAAGTATTCTTCTATCCTTTGGGAATATACCAAGAAGTGGGATTGCTGGATCATATGGTAGTTCTGCTTGTAGATTTTTGAGGAATCTCCAAATTATTCTCATGTGTGTTCCACAGTGACTGGACCAATTTACATTCCCATAGGCAGTGTAAGAGAGTTCCCCTGCCAGCACTTACTGTTTTTTTTTTTTTTTAATTTTTTTTATTTTTTAATCTTAGTCATTCTGAGTGGGGTTAGGTGGTATCTCATTGTTTTGATCTGCATTTCCCCTACAATGAGGGATGTTGAGCATTTTTTCATATGCCTTTTAGCTATTCATATGTCATCTTTAGAGAGCGGTTTCTCAACTCATTCTCCCGTCTTTTAATAGGATTAATCATCTTTTCTTCAGAACAGCTGCTTGAGTTCCTTGTGAATTCTGGTTGTTAAGTCCCTTATCTGACACACATTTTACAAAAATATTTTCCCATTCTGAGGGCTGTCCATTCACACTAATTACTGTGTCTTTTGCCAGGCAGAAACTTCTTAGTCTGATTAATCCCACTCATCTATTTTGGGGATTATCTACTGTGCTTTGGGGGTCTTATTTAAGAAGCCTATGCTCCCTACTCTAATGTCTCCCACAGTTTCCCCAGTGTTTTCCAGGAGCAGTTTAATAGTTTGAGGTCTTAGATTTAGATCTTTGATCCACCTTGACTTGATTTTTGACAGAGGTGAGAGGTAGGAGTTCAGATTCATCTTTCTGCAAGTGGAAATCCAGTAGTTTTGTTCTGTTACAAGGGGAAAAAAAATGAATAGACATTTATCAATCACATTATTCAGAATCTCTTTGTCTTCTTGCTAAAGAAACTAGGGTAAATTTATTGGAATAATAGATATTGTTTGTATTAAGTTCAAAGAGAGTATATTTTATAAATGTGAACTATGGTTGAAAGAGTCTAGAATGTTTCAGATTGGTATTTAGAACTTCTAGAAGTCACTTTAATATCATTTATCTAGAAGTCACTTTCATCATATCTTTGAGAATTATTAGTATGAGAGAATTATGACAAGATGTTGACACTGTGGAAATTGATGAGTGAAGTCCTTAAGAACTTGGGTTTGAATTTCAGTCCTGTCTCTTAGAAGTTGTAGGATAGCTCTAAAACTATTTCCTCTTTTGCTAAACAGGAATAAGAATAGCCTCCTTCCCAGGCTTTTTATGAAATGCAAGAAGTGATGCAGCAAAAGTGATAAGCACAATGTCTGACACATAATACACTTTGAAAAATGGGAGTTGATTTTATTAGTGTTAGTGATATATGTAATGGGTTTTATGCAGCCAATGATTTAATTTTCTTGTCTCAGAATGCTTGGGCTACTGAATTATACCAAATTATTTAAATACTATGTATAAAACCAAGGAACTTTTCTTGGTTAAAACAAAATGTAATATATCTTTCATTCTTAAAACTGAGAAAATGAAAGACCTGTTAATTGATTAAAGTTATGCTGGTCCAGTTTTCTTGTCTCTTTCTATTTCCTCTTCCCACTGTTTGATCAATATATTCCTAAGCTCTGAAGGTCCAAATATTAGGCAAGAAGAGGTGAGAAAATGACAAGGAAGGAGTCCACAGAGTCCATGAATTCAATATTGGTCCCAGATAAGAAGCGCAAATGACTATAGCTGAAGGGTTTTATACTGGTCACCTTTAATCAGACCATTGGGAAAAGTACAAATTTTTTCTCAGTATGAAAACTTGACTATGATGGTAACTTGTTTTAGCTGTTATTATATATCAGGAGCCCAACACCCAGCTGAACTTTCTCTAAACGTCTTTGTTAATATAGCAAACTATTTCCTTTGAGATCTATGTAAGGCAAGTACAGGTATTGTATATATTTAGAGTGATGGCCAAAACTTATTTTATTTCATTAAATAAAATAAGATGGTAAATGTAGATTTAGATTGATGAAAATATAGATTTTTAAAGGAAAACAGTTAAGTGCAAGCATGTTTTAAGGAGCCAGTCAACGAATATTTATTCAGCATAGACTATGTGCCAGACACTAAGCCACGTGCTAGGGTTAGCACTAACAGCACAGTCACAGTCTTTGTCAGAAAACACACAGAAAAACTAAATGACAGGACTAAACCCATTACTGCACCAGAAAACAGAGCTTACAAAATGGGACAGCCTCTGTACTAAGGGAAACAACTTCCAAGGAGCACATTTGGAAAAAACATACACAGACGTGCACACATATACGTTCATGAAAAAGCAAGTGAGATAAAATAAATGAATACCTTTGATGTTTTAGGTAATTCCATGAAAGTAAATATACAGAGATCATCATATTTCATTCTTTATTCAGCTTTCCTTTTGAAATTAAAAATAGAAACATGGAAAACTTTCTTTGGATGGCTTAGAGTAGAATAATTGGATTACATATATTTTCTTCACACTGCCTTAAAAGCATATCTACCTATGACAAAATAGCTAACAAAAACAAATTAAAGAAGAAAGAAATGAATAACACTTCAAATGGGTAAACTTTTCTTTTTTTTTGGGGGGGGGTGTCCAAGTACCATGTTTCGTCTTCATGAACTGACATTTTATTATCTCTTAATAAATCTTTGATTATTAGATATGGCATAACTTTCCTAAAGTAAAACCATTAATGTAATCGGTCCATGAGTAAGTATGGTGTGTTTACTAAAGAAGGAAAAAAGAGAATAAACTCCACTTTTATTCTCTTAAATGTGTGCATACATTTAAGAATCTCCCCACTTGCCCACCCACCTTCAACTTGCAAATCTTTAGATTTGATAGGACTATGAGAAGCGTGGAGGATTTTCAACTGTATAAAGTAGCCAAGCAACTTTTCTTGGTTATAACAAAATGCAATATATCTTTTATTCTTAAAACTGAGAAAATGAAAAAACTGTTAACTGATTAAAGTTATGCTGCTCCAGTTTTCTTGTCTCTATTTTCTCTTCTCACTGTTTGATCAATATACTCCTAAGCTCTGAGGGTCCCAATATTAGGCAAGAAGAGGTGAGAAAATGACAAGGAAGGAGTCCATGGAGTCCATGAATTCAATATTTGTCCCAGATAAGGAGATACGCAAATGAATATAGCTGAAAAGTTTTTTGTTTTTGTTT